GAAGCATCCAATTCCTAACTCCCTGATAGTCGAGACCAGCTGTACCAAGCCGACTGGGAGAGCTCATGTTATTCCAACAAATAAGGAGAGGAAGAAGCTAGAAATGATAGGCAGACGGCTCTACTCCCTTATTTCATTCATGTTGCGAGTAGCTAATTACCAGACTGCCTTAGGTGCTTACCAGAAGCAGCTATGGCTGAAAATTCTCCCAGGTTTAAAGCTGTTACCTGAAGATATGAGGCAGGGGTACCTCAACACCTGTGAGGAGGCCCAAACCGTTTCCAAGCATCAGAGGATTGCCACCAAGCATTCGGTGGAGGCGGCTGCAAGGATTCTTGTATCTGCTGTTACTCTTCTCAGACATGCATGGCTTCGGTCTGCGAATATTCTTGATGACGTGAAAACCAAGGTGGAGGACTTACCCTTTGATGCCTTGGGTCTTTTTAATGAAAAAAAACTGACAGTCATCTTGAAGAGCTGCACAAGGCCAAAAAGACGGCTAAATCCTATTACATTCAGCCTCAGCCCAGATTCAATAGATATCAGTGGAAGAAGCCTCCGGCCAATATAATCAACCTTCTCAACAATACAGGCAATTCAAAGTGCAATCTCAGTCCAGGTCTTCACAAGGTACTTCTTCAACCTCTACTTATCATGCTCAGCCTTCCCAGCGACATCAGTCATACAAGCCTCCTGCCAAGAAACACAAGCAATATCTTTGACTCGAAAGCAATATTGCCACTCCCCACTCCAGTGACAAGACTACAACCATTTATTCAAAATTGGTCCACCATCACAAGAGACTCGTGGGTTCTAGACATCATCCACTTTGGCTACCGGCTAGAATTTATAGAATATCCTCCTCTAGGTCAGGTAGAACACACATCATTCAACCCTGTCCTAGAGGAGGAGGTTCGCTCCATGTTGGAAAAACACGCTATTCAGAAAGTGCCAAAAAGAGACATTGCAAACGGTTTCTACTCAAGATACTTCGCTGTTCCCAAAAAAGATGGAGGAAGAAGACCTATCATGGACCTAAGGACCCTAAATACTTACCTTCGACTACGCTGGTTCCGAATGGTGACGCTGGAATCTATCATTCATCTGCTGAAAAGAAAAGATTGGTTTGTGGTTATAGACCTGAAAGACGTGTATTTTCACATAACGATTCATCCCTCACACCGCAAATTCCTGAGGTTTGTCTTTCAAGACATCATCTACCAGTTCTTGGCTCTTCCGTTCGGCCTTGCGACGGCCCCCCGGACGTTTACGAAGTGCATGGCACCTGTTGCTGCTTACCTGAGACTAAACGGTGTCCATGTTTTTCCGTACATCGAAGACTGGTTGGTGGTCGGCCCGTCCAGACGCAGGGCCCTGAAAGACACAAAATTTATTCTACATATGCTTCGGAATGTAGGTCTCAAGATAAATTACAAGAAATCTCATTTGACTCCCTCGAGAGTCATAGATTTCAGCGGGGCCACAATAGATGCTATCAAAGGCCGCATCTTCCTTCCACAAGAACAGATCCAAATGATTCTGAAGGCTGTAAAGAAGTTCAGGGCAGGAGCTACAGTGTCTGCGCTACATGTTCAGCATCTCCTGGGCCTTATGACGTCAACAACTCCAGGCTTGGCTCATGCTCGACTGAAACTCAGGTCTCTACAGGTGTGGCTTCTTTCCTTCTTCGACCCTCTTCGACATCATCAAGGAAAGCGTCTTTGAGTCACACCAGAGTTGGCACAACAGCTATAGTGGTGGAGTTTTGTACCATACCTACAAGTAGGACGTCCATTTCAACCCCTTCGTTTGACTGTCCAAGTCACCACGGACGCAGGTCCCACAGGTTGGGGGGTGCATTGCAGCCAACATTGCATACATGCTCAATGGTCAGTTCAAGAACAGATTCTCCACATCAACCACCTGGAGATTCTGGCTGTCATCAAAGCACTCAAAGCCTTTTTCCCCCCTAGTACATGGTCGCGGGGTACAAATAGTCACAGATAATACCACGACCACGTACTATATAAACAAACAAGGGGGCACACACTCTCACTCCCTGCTGTTTCTAAAGGTAACGCTTTGGGAATGGTGTTACCGCCATCACATTTTTCCAGTGGCATTTCATGTGTTGACGGAAGACAACGTGCTAGCCGACAAACTGAGTCGACGTATGAGTCAGATGCACGAGTGGGAACTGAATGCCGAGGTGTTCGACGATCTGTGCCGTCATTGGGGCACTCCTGCCGTGGACATTTTTGCCACTCAAACCAACAGGAAATGTCCGCTTTATGCCTCCAGGGCAGGTTGGGGACAGGGTTCTATGGGGGATGCCTTCATGATATCATGGACTATGGGTCTTCTCTACCTGTTCCCCCCATTTCCTCTAGTCCAGAGGACGTTGGTCAAACTTCGGCAAGAGTCTGCAGAGGCAATTCTGGTGGCACCTTTCTGGCCGCGTCAGTCGTGGTTTCCGACCTTAGCATCAATGGCAATAGTCTCGGTGACACTTCCGCTTTTTCCCGCTCTACCTACTCAGGATGCAGGCTAGGTGTTCCACCCGGACCTCAAGATGATACATCTCGTTGCCTGGAGGATATCCCCGAGATTAAGGAAGTTTTAGACAAGTCTAAAAGGGCATCAACTTCTCGGCTGTGTGGGTATAAATGGAGAAGTTTCCTCAAGTTTACCGAATCTAAGGGTCTCGCCTCACATCCAGTCATCCTCTCTACTTTGTTGCAGTTTCTGCGCTACCTGTTTGATTTCAAGTTGACTATTTCTACTTTAAAAGTTTACATTGCTGCTATCGTTTCCTTCTAACCTCGAGGTTCACCTGCTTTCCGTTTGTTTTCTCATCCTACGGTTAAAGTCCTTCAAGGGACTTACACATTTGCGACCCCCCTGTTAAACAGCCAGTACCGCAATGGTCACTTCATCTGGTGTTACACTCCTTGATGTGTCCACCGTTTGAACCGATGGCCACATGTGATCTCAAGATGTTATCAATCAAAACTTTATTTTTGGTGGCTATAACTTCAGCCCGCAGGGCCAGCGAGCTAGCTGCTCTTCGAGCTGATCAACCCTTCTTACAGTTTTTTCGGGACAAAGTGGTGTTGCACACTGATGTCTCATTTCTTCCCAAAGTGGTCTCTGAGTTTCATTTGAATCAACCCCTTATACTGCCTCCCTTGTTCTCTGAACCTGCCAGTGACATGAAGCGCATGCTCCACACCTTGGATGTCAGAAGAGCACTTGCCTTTTATGTTTCACCGACTAAGGAATTTAGGTTATCTCCTAAACTCTTTCTGTGTTATTTTGGACAAAAGAAAGGTCTCCCTGCATCACCCTCATCGCTCTCGAGATGGCTTGTTTCTGCAATATCTTTGGCCTATGAACTCCAACAGAAGGCGCCATCTGAAGGTTTACGTGCTCACTCCACCAGAGCAGTTGCCTCTTCTACAGCCCTCCTATGTGGTGTCGATTTGCCTGACATCTGCAGGACTGCTGCTTGGTCTCAAGCTTCCACCTTTATCACTCACTACAGATTGGACCTGAGGGCTAAGAGGGAGACAAGGTTCGGAAGAGCTGTATTGGCATCCGCCCTTCAGTGACAGCCCTCCTTCTGGTGAGTTAGCTTGCTAGTCAGCCTTTTGTGTGCATTCACAGAAGACCACGATGAAGAAAGAGGGGTTACTTACCTGTAACCATGGTTCTTCAAGTGGTCATTCTGTGAATTCACACAATCCCACCCAGCCTCCCCACTTTCCGTCACTGAATATATATATAGCTCATACTTTCTTATCTGTGGTGGATAAATGGAATTGAGGCTTGGGCGGGTGGAGCATGCGCAGTATAGGCAGTATTAAACTATGTTTCTTTTTCTATAGAGCTCGAGAACATTCCGAAAGGACCAACGCTAGCGCTGACTTAACCCTTTTGTGTGAATTCACAGAATGACCACTTGAAGAACCATGGTTACAGGTAAGTAACCTCTCTTTTTTAAAGTGGTTAATTTCAGTTCCTTTGGTCTGCTTTGTGAATGGGGTTCTGGTATTCAGAATCATTTGGGGTTGTGTAGTAAGAGCAGATAGGCTACTGCCCAGAGCCCATTTAGAATATCACTTGGTGGAATGGTACAGCTCCTTATTTCTGAACTGAACGAAGCCCCTGTTACAAGCTGTTGTATAACTGGGGTTCAATGTTGATAAATAGCACAGAAGGGTGATATTTAGGTTGATGTATTTACAAGTTAGGTGTCTGTTTACCCTTACAGAGACAATTACATAGGCTACACCTGCTTTTCCTCTTGGCAAAATAATAAATGGTAGTATTGACTATGGAGACAGTAACTGGCAGTTTGTAGAAGAGGGGTGGACATAGTGCAGTCTTGGAATAGACATTGAACTGCATCTCTCAGCAGCTCTTGCCAATGTAGCTAATATGGAGGGAGATGGAGTCCAACAAGATTTGGAAAGATCACCCTTTCCTTCCCCATGATGTAGAAAGCTTCCAGTTAGAACTGTGGATGCCACTCCTTCACACTACCCGCAAGTGTATCATTGCTGCTTCCCCTCCCTTGTCTTCAGCACTAGTAATTTGATTCTTTCTTCTGGTTGGCTGTCCAGACTAAATGACTTTTTTCTGCTCACATGTGGTGAGATCTACCCAGAAAGATTTCATTATTGATTCAACATACACTGGAGTCATAAGAAACAGGAAAAGTTTATATTGATGGGTATCTACTGCAGGGTGTTTCCTCCTCCTTTATGCAGTGGTGCATAACAAACCAATAATGGAAAGCTTTGTGTAATGTGTGATGGCCAGCACATTCGGCTGGATCCAGAGCTAGACTTGCATTGTAAGGAATATGTGTCCAGTGCCCCCCCCCAAAAAAAAACACCCTGTTCTAGAGAGGGGAAACTATTTGGAGTATCTTTCTGACAGCCAAGGAGAGCTGCAGGAAAGAGGGACTGAAAATCCAGCTGCCACCATCAGCATTGGGTTAGATATATGGTTGTTGTTTTTTTGTTGTTGTTGTTTTTGGGGGGGGTTGTAAGCCAGGAATAAACCAGGGTTCAGAGGTGATATGAATCTTCATGTTTCTGGTTTGTTTTCCTTGACTTGCACAAAAGGAGGAGCACCAGCACATTGCTCATTCACAGTAAGACGGGATAATCTGGCAATTCTTCTTTATTGTTATGTGCAAATACAGCAAATTAGTCAAGAGGCTGTCCTGACATTAATGATCCATTCTTTTCTACAAGGCATAAATTTATTGGTGCATGGTGAAAATGTTCATACATTATTAAGATAAATGATGAATTGCATAATACACTTTTTATTGGTCCTTTATTTGCTAATCTAGCATTTCAATAATGTGCAAGCAGAGTGTCAGTTAATTCACATAAATGTTTGCTACAGTGTGGTTGATGCACTTGTAAGATAAATACCGTTTCTAAAAACCATTATTTCAAAAAACAGTTGCACTACAAGTTTTGTGCTTGTAGTTTAGAAAGTTTGTAAGTTTCAAAAAAAAAATCAACCACGGGACTGGATGTCTTTTAATCTAGAAGTGATGAAGAATTCACTGTTATTTTGCAGGAATCCTTTGCTGAACATTTGGGCTATACAACGGGTGTCATCAATGGGTAATATGTTTTTTTCTCTGTACCTATCCAAGATTTCTTTGTGTCCTTGACATAAAACTTTTTTTAATTGGTCTCAAGAACAATTTATTTATTACAGTATAATAAATTCATTCCGTAGGTAGTGTTCTCTAGTGTTCTTAAAAGTATTTCAAAGAAAATATGTGACCCATTCAGGAATAGAAACATAGGAAATGCTCTGCTGGTTCCCTCTTAAAGGCATATTTATATTTAATCCAGCATTCTGGGACTGGAGTGAACAGAGTGTGAGGGCAGAGAGCCACATGTTGCCAAATCTGGCCCATGCTGCCAGTAAATAGAAGGTTCATTGAGACATGCTGTTGTTTTTATTCCCTGTCAAGTCACTTCTGATGTAGGGTGATCCTATGAATTAATGACCTCTGGAGTTGTCATTGACAACTTTGCATTCCAGGACTCCAGAGGCTGACAGCATGGGGGCTGCAATTTGGGGCTGGGAGGGATTTTCCCAGAAGCCACTATGCTATTTGTGGGCCTTTCCCTTTGATTTTGCCCTTGGTCAATCAGAAGGGCCAGGTGTGTGGTTAATTTATTTATTTATTGCATTTATACCCCACCCATCTAGTCAACTGACTACTCTTTAAGCTTCTCAAAGAGAAAAGGGTTTCACTCCAGTCCACTGGACTTTTTAATCTCTTTGTTACAGCTTTTGGGCGGGGGGAGTTTTTAGGCAAGAGGATGGATCCAGACAGATGGAGGAAAGGATAGGCAAGTGTGTGACACCTCCAAGGCAATGGAGAGACCAAGAACAAGGACAGCTTCAATGAAGCTGTGTAGTGTTTACTCTCAGGTGGCAGGCTTACATGGTTAACCCTGGGTTCTGGGCAGGCAAATCGCCTTATGCAGATACATACTCCATGCTAGCCCAGAGCTATTAGCAGCTGTCACCAATGAACTTGTGGTCTTTCCTTCCAATGTTGTTTTGTGCTTATTCCTATGTCCCAGCTTCCGGCAGCATTTAAATTCAGATGACAAAGTAGACTGCATATTAGAGTTATAAAATAGCCTCCATTACTAGACATATGTAGAGAGAGAGAGAGAGAGATAATTACTCAATACATTTTTCTTCTCTTCTCAGAGCTGAACTTTATCGGGCCTCAGGGAAATTTGAATTACTTGATCGAATTCTACCAAAGCTGCGAGCCACAAACCACCGCGTACTTCTTTTCTGTCAAATGACATCTCTCATGACCATTATGGAAGATTATTTTGCTTTTCGGAACTTTGCTTATCTGCGACTTGATGGTAATGTCTGAGCTGAAAAAATTAATTGAGAGATGGTGTGGTAACTCAACCATTGATCTTTGTCTAGGTGTTTCTATTTCTCAAATACCTGTTTCTGTCTCCTCATTGCTGTCAAGTGGCCCATGATACTGGAAGGTTCTCATTTACTACTGCTAATGTAGCACAAATTGACTGTGGTAGCTAGGAATGTAAGTTGTGAGATAGAAAGCCCCTTGTTCAGATCACACCACAGTCAAGAACGCAGTAAATACATTTAAGACAAGCCACTGTGTCGGCTATCTTATCTGTAGTGTAAGGGATCTGATAAATTTCAGATAATGTACTTTCACCACACTCTGCATTTTTAATAGTGCAATATCTATATATCTTCACCTAAAATGTTGAGGTTGAATTCATTACTGTTGCAGATATGCTCTGTAATTCTCGAAAGAAATAATCTTCATATTTGGTTTTTAAAATGCATTACACAGATTGCATGATTTTCCGCCTGAGATGAGTTATTTAACTGAAGGAAAATGGTGGTCCAAAGTATAGACATGGACAGAGACAGACAGAATTCAGTGACTTTTAGCTGAGTGTTCTGTGCTTAACAATTATCCCCTATGTTTTACATTAGAATTTAAAGATGATCACTTGTCTTTCTCTGGGAGCAAAACTGTGAATTACTTTACTGTGTTTTAGAGAATCATATTGGTGAAGAGAAATACTGGAAGAATATCCATTTGTCTTATTTGATTTTTTTTTAAAAAGCATCATTAGTGAGAACTGTGATTGACATCAGCAGTGGAGGAGAATTACTTAATCAAGCCTACAAGGATTTCAGCTGCCATCAAGTCAACTGAGAAAAAAAAAACCTGTGGGCTGGCATAATCTGATTCATTCTGCTACAGTGGAAAACAACATCAGTAACTTGAATGATCTGTTCCACTCACTCTGATCGGCAGGAACTTTCAGCCAATCATTTGGACCTCGGGTGTCCCCTAGAGCAGCCATTTTCAACCTTTTATCGGCCACAGCCATAAACGTAATGTAAAATAAAAGTAGGCTGGATCAGGATTGTATAAAGTTACATAATGAATTTTATAAGGTGATGTGTGAAGAATTGTTTCCAGTCTGTGGCCCCCTTCAAATCTGCTGGAAGCCGTATGGCAAAGGTCAGCCCTGGTCCACAGCCCAGTGCCGGTCCGTGGCCTAAGCTGGACCAGGCTGCAAAGACAGACCTCCCCCCCTGCATGCACTCACCCCCCAGCAGCTGCTTTGCGCACGCATGCCAGCACTGGCCTGAGTGCTCCCCCACCCCTTCACGCATGTGCCCAAGTGCCTGCACAAAGGAGCGGGGCGGGGCGGGCACTCCGGTGCATGCACAAAGGGGTGGAGGAGTGCTCATGTCAGAGCTGGCGCGTGCGAGCACTCCCCACCATTTCACACATGGGCCAGAGGCCGTGCTCAAGAGAGAGAGCTCCTTCGCCATGTGTGCATGAGCGCGGGGGTGGGGGTGCCCCGCCTTCCTCAGCCTTTCTGCAGTCCCAAAAAGGTTGCCGTATGGCCCCCCATTGAGAATGGCTGCTCTAAAGCAGTTGATTCCCAGCTTTGAGTCCCTAGATGTTTGTGGATTCCCAGAAATCCTGGTTAGCGCAGCTAGTGGTGGAGGCTTCTGAGACTTTTAGTCCAAGAACATCTGTGAACCCTGTGTTGGGAACTACTGCTGAGAGAGAAGACAGTCCCAGAACTTCCAGTGTATTTCCTCCCTCCACTCTGATAGATTGTCAAACTCATTCTTCTTTATTTACCACTTCCTTTGTTCTCTACTCTTAATAAAAAACAGAAAAGCAACAAATGTTTTTTCTTCAGCTAATCTTCCTAATCTCCTGTACCCTGACCTTGGATGACAGTACCTTGGCCTCTCAATAACTCTCTGACACCCGTAAGGAGAGCCAGGGAAGAAATGGATTTCTCCCCGTGTGCTAGTGCCCGGGAGACTTAGTTTAGGGTACCTCAACAATAACTTGCAGTATCAAAGGGACTGGAATTCAGGGACACCCACAAACCAGTCCCTGATCTAGAGTGACATGATGGAGTGACAACTCAGGGGCTGAGTAAGAAAGTCTAGTCCCCTCCTTCCTCTTATGGAGGGACTGTCTCTCTGAATCTGGAATTGTGTTTTTGCATCAAATTAATAGTAGCAACAGCTTCAGTCTAGGGCAGTGATGGCAAACCTATAGAACGTGTGCCACAGGTGGCACGCAGAGCCCCTTCTACGGGCACGCAAGTCATATGTCGCTAGATCGCTCCCCCCCTCCACGCAGCCAAACCTGAGAAGGCGGCTGCAGCCGCGGTGCTGGTGCTTTGATAGGCAGATCCAGAGCAGCTGGCGCTGGCGGCAGATCCAGAGTGGTGTCTCTGGGCACCTCCGTGCCTGGGATTCCCCCTTCAGCCCCCACTTCCGGTTCCATCACTGCCACGTGCTGGGGATATTTGTTTGTGTGTATTTTGTTTTGTTTTTTTCAGTTTGGGCATGTGAGCCCAAAAAGGTTTGCCACTGCCAGTCTAGGGAATCCCTCACCAGCTTGACCGACTTTCAAGAAAGAACATCTAGGATGCTGAAGGAGGAAGGAGGCCCTCCTGCTGAATTACATGTTGCCTCAGTACCCTTTTTGTGAAGGATGGGGATGAGATTAGAAGTCATCAGAATGACCTTCCTTCTTCCTTCTCTTTTTGTTAGACTTGATTCCATTTGATTCCATAGAATGTCAATTTTGCTACAGTTATCTGACAATAAACTTTTAAAAATCTGTCCTCTAAATTCTGCATTAGAAAATCAGAAGTTGTGGGCACTCTCTACTTCTCATGGCCATCAGGCTGACATCATTCCTTCTCATACTACTCTTTGCCAGAGCCATATGCAGGATCACATCAAACAACCTATAGCCACTCCTACATAGGCCACCATGATCCTCCAGATACCTCTCCTTGCCTGTCAGAGGGCTGGGGTTTCTATTAGACACTCGTCGTGTATTTTAAATAGGATATTATCTTATAGACTGTGCTCTTCTACATTTCATTTGCTTTTTTCTGAGAACAACAAATAAATCTGCACTTCTAGGACTATCTTAGATCTTATGTCTTCTTTCTCTCTCTTTTGTCCTTTTAAGCTCTTTTCCTAGAAGGTTGCTCGTCACTAACAAAAGTACTTAACAGTCTGTTAGAATATCAGGAAAATATTTTCAGTCTTTTTATTTGTTTTCTGTATTCACTTCTTGTATTCTTTATGCAGCTATAGCTGGTTTTACTGGAGAGTCCTTATACGTACATTATCTGCTAATGATACATATGAATTCCCTTAGTCTGGCTACATTGACAGAATACAAAATTTTGCGAAAACACAAGTCTGCAGCTAAATCTGTGAAAATAAACAAATGCATGCTTATATGTTTTATACCCTGAACTTAGAAAGTAAGTTTCTGAAATGGAAGAACCAAAGCCAATAAGATGTCCTAGATATAGGATCCATCAGTAGTCCTGCAAGGTTTGCTTTTCCCGACATTACCTTGTAGACATCAAGGTCTTTTCTACTGTGTCTTTAAGTGTTTTTCTGTATGGCATTAACTTTGTATGCAAAAGTGTGGTATGTCAGTAGTCCTGCAAGGTTTGCTTTTTCCAACATTACCTTGTAGACATCAAAGTCTTTTCTACACTAAGTGTTTTTCTGTACAGCATTAACTTTGTATGCAAAAGTGTGGTATGTACTTCAGTGCAATAACATGTATGGAAATGCTGATAACTTTATAGTAGTTCAGGTTTTAGCTTATCACGGTGCCTTGTGTTATATGAATGGCATCAACAGCAGCAGGGTGGACAACATTAAAATAAGACATTAAATTTGAGAAACTTGCAAAATGACATGCATCCTTTTAATGACTTCTCATTTTAGGAACAACCAAATCAGAAGATCGAGCAGCTCTGTTGAAGAAGTTCAATGAACCCAATTCCCAGTACTTTATCTTTCTGTTGAGCACAAGAGCAGGAGGTCTAGGATTGAACCTGCAGGCAGCTGATACCGTCATAATTTTTGACAGTGATTGGAATCCTCACCAGGTAGTTTATTAACCACTATTTATAATTAAATTGCTACATGAAGAATTGATATCCTTTCCATACATGAAACGTCAATGAGTTACTGTTTTTATCTATGCTTTTATCTACTTACTTTAAATCAATCAGGGTTGATAAAAAAAGGTATTATAATCCACATATTTCTTGTGAACTTCTTCTTCTCTGTGGTGCTCCTGTAGCAAACTAGAGTCTAAAGCCAGAGTTTGAAGTTGGTTTCTTGTAGGAGGACACCAAATCAAAATCTTGATTCAGATGTGCCAAGAGTTTCTGCTTCCTCATTAATTTCTGGTTTCTACACTGTTTCCCCAAAATTAAGACCTAACCTGAAAATAAGCCCGGGTATGATTTTTCAGGATGTTTGTAATATAAGCCCTACTCCAAAAATAAGCCCCAGTCAAGTGAAACCCCGCCCTCCACCATTGTGTAGCAACCAGAAGAAGATGACATGACTGTATTTGAATAAATTTAAATGGTTGTACATGAAAAAAATAAAACATCCGTTGAAAATAAGCCCTAATGCGTTTTTGGAGCAAAAATTAATATAAGACCCTGTTTTATTTTCGGGGAAACACAGTACTAGTGGGAGGAGCCAGGCAGAGTTGATTTTCTGCAATTGTGGCACAGCATTATGTCGGAACACATTTGCTGCATGATTAAGATCGATCTTCTCCAGTGGTCCTGCATATTTTGGCTAGTCTTCAGAGCATGACTAGAAATCTTAAATATTTGGACAGGCATGGCTGTGGTCTAGAGATACACAGCTTACTATATAGAATTAAAGTCCTGGACAGTGAATAATTTGAGAACAAGCTTATGTATAATCTTTCAAATTAAACCAAACACAGAAGCTGAAATTATAGCTTCTTAATAACTGTACTCGAGGCATCAAAACCTCTCAAATTTAGGGAAAAGGCATCTGAATAAGGGAAGGCAGGAATTTTTAAGGCGTGAGAATGCCTTCTCCTTCCCAGCAGCCAGAGTGAATTGAACAACTCCTATAGGATGGTTGGTGATTTGAACTGAAATTTGAGGGAGATTCTATTGTCTGTGTCTCCAGTGTCCTCCCGGTTTCTTTTAGGAACACAGATGTTGCTTTGTTCTAATGCTACTTGCCAGAGCATAGTTTGAGAAAGGATCACTATGGTTTCTGCTGTTCTCACTGAATGCCAGTAGACCATGGTCCACAGATACTTCCATTTGGGATGTGTTCTATAAAGACATACAAGCTCTATTCAGTTGTTATCTAAGTGTGGAGAGCACACACGTGTTGACAGGAACGTGCTTGCCCTTTCCCTTAATCATCACTTTCAGCATATGAAAAGAGCCGTGCAAGTAGGAGAATGTGCATGAAGAAAATCCAGAATAAATTAATTATTGGTCTCTTAAAGTATATCCTTGAACTAAGTCTGATTAGAGTAAAGGAACAGTTCAAGTATGTTTCAAACTCAGATAACTGGGTTCAGAAACTTTATTGGTTTGTATTGGTAAAAGGCAGGTGTTGTGCCAAGCAATTGATTTTTTTTCAGATTTGTATCTGATTCAAATATCTTAAATACATTGGCCAGAGTCCTGTTGCTCTTTGCATAAGGTTTGCGTAATTTGCTATGACCAACTGTAGCTAATTAACAAGGTGCTGGGGTGCATCTCGGTTGTATGTCTGGTAACACACCTGATTGCATTACCCTAGATGTGCCCGTGCACTTCAGTAATTAGCCACATGCAAACCTTACACGAACACCAATAGGATTCTATCCATTAAGTAATTTAAAATATATATTCATAGTTATATTGCTTTGTATATTCTTTACAGTATGTATGTGACTCTCCTAAACAACCTGTGTTCTTTGCTTTTTTTCTTCTACATTGGCAGCTTAAGATTCAAGTGGATCCTGAATTCAAGTTTCTAGTTTGTCTTTGTTAGTTTCATATGTTTACTGATTTAAAACCTCTGTGAGATTGTTTTGCTTTGACAACCATTTGATTGATTGCAAGAGGCCAATACATTTTACTCAATGCCTTTTTTTGCCACAGGACTTGCAGGCACAAGACAGAGCTCACCGAATTGGGCAGCAGAATGAGGTTCGAGTACTACGATTGTGCACAGTGAACAGTGTGGAGGAGAAGATCCTTGCTGCTGCCAAGTATAAACTGAATGTAGATCAAAAAGTTATCCAGGCGGGAATGTTTGACCAAAAGTCTTCAAGCCATGAGCGGAGGGCATTTCTCCAGGCCATACTGGAACATGAAGAAGAAAATGAGGTAGTACACAAACCTATTTCAAGTGTTAAAAATTAAAATGTGGTTTCCTTTTCCCCAAAACTGGCAGTTTCTGTTGGTTCATTATTAAACTGAAAAGGTGTTCAGTGCTTCCCAACCTCGCCGCCTCTGGTGGCACTCACTTAGAGGCAGTGTCCCAGCTTCCCTGGCCTGCCTCCTCCAGGCACTGCCTCTGAGTGGGTGCTCATTAGAGGAGGTGGGGTTCAGCGGTTCATGCCCATCTATAGAAGAGAGTAAAGGATCCAGCCCTATATGTTCAAGGCCATGTGTAATCCACACTAAAATGTTTATGCTTATTTAGGCCAGACTTTTTAATTGGTGTTAGTTATTCAACTTGAGACCTTTTGCATATTTTTCTAATTTGCATTATTATTTAAATTGAGATAATTTGTATAATTTTGTATATGTCATTGAATAGTTAGCCTGGATAAATATTATGTATAGAAATCATAGACATTTCTCTATTTATTTAGTAGTAACTATCCCTGCCATATTCCTCCTGGTTTATTGTGTAAATCCTGTCCTTTTCAGTTTCATTTAAATCATCACACAGATATAGTTTTGTGTGGTTCTTTTGTGGTGTTCAGAATGTTCAGCCATTTTTTCAATCTTTTTTTTAAAATAATAGTTTTTTTTAATATGCTACTGTCACTGGTGCACTGATTGTAATCCACAGAAAGACCCATTAAATTACTAGAGAAGGAAGCTGTTGTAGCATTTTTGGAATAAACTATTAGCTTTGAATATGTAGTTGAACAAATGGAAGGATCTGGTCAGGTGGGTGATGGAGACTCATCCTCTAGCTAGAGAGAATCTTTAGTGAGCTTTATCTTTCTGGTTTTAAGTTTTATTAAAAGGGAGGAGCTTTAGAGAAGGGGTAACTATGTTAGTCTATCCTAGCATAACGGGCAAAAACAAAAGAAAAATAAATAAATAAGACAAAATGTTATGGCACCTTAAAGACTAACTGCTATATTTTAATGTGAGCTTTTGTGGACAAGTCCATTTTGCCTGAGTAATGTATTTGCCTCATTTCAAGAAAAGCAATGTAATCACTACAGCTGATGTATTATATGTGCTTATTCCTCAACTTACATCATTAACTCAGCAGGAGGGCATATTTCGAAATAAATCTATATAGTACTGTAGTATAAAAACACTATATATAGCAAGATCAGAAGTATTAGAAGCTAATAAACACGTAAGGGGCTTTGAGAACATACCCAGGGCAGTAATCTTTCTGTTGTGTTTTCTTGCCCTTTTTAATGTATTGTTCATCTGAGCAATCAAATAGTTAATTATCATACTATATGTCACCATATAATATATCAACAACCTCTGTGCATATTTATATAGGCGTATCCATATATTCTGCCTCTTTTTCTTCATTTGTAGGAAGAAGATGAAGTTCCTGATGATGAGACCCTGAATCAGATGATTGCACGGAATGAAGAGGAATTTGAGCTGTTCATGGTAATGATATTGCATAGTCATATCTCGAGTCGTTGTGTCTGCCTGACGTCATCGCTCACATTCTAGTATAGTGTTATTCTCCCTTTTAAAAGTCTAAAGATGAGCAATATTGGGGTATTATTCTGCATATCACTTTCTTGCGTGTTTGTGTCCATTCTAGAACATCCTCTTCCATATCAGACCCAACACTTTTACAAGGGCTAAAGAAAGTCTTGGGCGTAGCACCATTTAAAAGAAATCATGTAGTGTCAATATTGAATTATATCATTGTCAGTATATCATTTGAATTAATAAAACATTATATTCCAATTCTTTAAATTTAGCCAGTCTTTTCATCAGGATGCAGCAAGGGAAATTAATCTGATGCTGCTATTTTCTCTGTATCTGTTATTGGAAAAAAATGAAACATGTTCATTCCTACCAGTCCAGCCATGAAATAAACAATCACCTGACTGCTGATTGACCTCAAAACCTGGAATGCATTTTTTCTGTATGCCACAAGAGGTTGCTGTGGCACTTGTTCAGTTGATAACCCTGCTGGTTACTTTTCTTCTGCTGCTTTGTCTGTTGTCTCCTAGTGTCCCTGTTGTTTCTCAGCTGCAGACAGAAAATGAAAGAAAAAAGGAATGGGAAGTGGCTTGTTTCACTCTAAGAGTAGTTAGTGATTAATTGATTGATTGAGTCATTCAGTAAAAAAAAAACCCGCTGCTGTTACATGGTAATACTGCGGGCAAGATACTTAGTAAAATACCACAGTGTCATGCTTATGAATTCAGAGAAAACCCTTTGAGAAGAAATGAAGATCAAGGAGCCATATCATCAGCAACCTGAAGCTTGCAAATTGTATTCACTAGTTATGAGCAATGTTAGTTAAGTTGCAGAATGGTAGAAACCAAAGGGTGAAGTGATATATATAATACATGAAGTTAGGAAGGAACAGGAGCTGTTGTGAGAGAAGGACTAGTGCAAAGGGAGGGGTGTCTTCAGTTTCTAATACCACCACATGACAGCCTTGGAGGTTAATTAATGATACCTGTGAAAGATCTGCAAACCTGCTAATGTTACTGCTTGTTGTCGAATTGGGTTGATCATGTTCTCATGCACATGAGATTCTCCTGTTCCCCCGGAATTACTGAGAATGCCCCCATGCACAGACACCTTCAGTGAATCCTTTCATTGTGTTAGTTCTTTATTCTCTTCAAAAAACACAGCCACCCTTGAGTCTCCTTCAGTCTTATTTTTAAGCACCTACAGTGGGCCCTCGACTTACGAACTTAATCCGTTCTGGGAGGACGTTCGTACCTCGGAAAGTTTGTAAGTCGACCTACCACTTCCCATTGAAATGCATGGGAACTGAATTAATCCGTTCCAGCATTTCAAAAAAATACAAAAATAAAAATAAAAAGAGCAAGTCCCACGTTGGGACTGCAAAAAAAACACACACACATACAAAAACCCACAGAAACATAACCCCCCCCAGTCGAAACCCACCCTCCAAAACCCACACAGAAAAGCTTTTTTTAAAAAGGACTTACCAGTCCGAAGCCTGCCGGCGCTCCGCTGCCTCCGCTGCGGCCGGGGGTGAGCGGCCAAGCGCCCAGCCAGCTCTAGCCTCCCAGCGCTCTGCTTCCTCCCTTCTTCCCTGCCTTTGGAGCTTTCAAAGGGTTTCCTCCGATGTCGGGGAAAGCCCTTTGAAACCTCTGAAGGCACTGATCATGGTGGGGAAGACCCCCAGGGAGGTCTCTCATGGAGGCGTACAAGCCCTGGGAGACCTCCCTGGGGGTCCCCGCTGCCGCCACGATGGGTGGCTTCGGAGCTCTCAGAAGGCTTCCTCCGACATTGGAGGAAGCCTTCTGAAACCTCCAAAGCCAAAAAGGCAGGGAGAAAGCGCCGGAAGTTCGAACTTTCCGCCCTTTCTCCCTGCCTTTTGGGTTCCTAACCTGATCCACGTTCGCAAGTAGTAAACCCTACTTGCGATGAGATCGGGTTCATAACCCGAAAAGTTCGCAACTAGGGCCGTTCGTAAGTCGAGGGCCCACTGTAATACATAACTTTCTCTCTCTCTCCATCTTTATCTACTCTGTGTAAATGTTGGAAATTGTTATATCATATGAATTGTTTTTATTCGGTGTTTTGTGAGCCACCCAGAGTAGACTGTGTCTAAATGGGCGGTATATAAGCTTAATTAATAAAAAAATAAAAAAATATAGTAACACATAGAAATAGAAAGGGAATAATAATATACATTAATATATAGTCCCACCAACTATATGCTGTTAGAAGTGCATCAGAGGTATTTTAGACATCCTGTAGACTGGGGAAGAGTCTTCATTTTGATTATTTAAAGAAAACTTTCAGGTTTTAGTTCACTGATTTGTGGGAGACGGTTAATTTTTGTTATACTGAAGTGCTCGTTTAGGAATACTATACACAGAAATCTTTTGGACCAAGCTGTTCAGCTCATGTGGTCTTGCCAAAAGTAAATCAAACTGAGTTGATCTACTACTAGAAGAATAACATCCTGTGCATTATTCATCAGTACGTTTCGTGGTAACCACAGTCATCAGTAGTCTGTGCTGCCAAATGGTTTGGACCCTTTCATTATGCCTTCTCCTGTTGTCAAACAAGGCAAGCTTTTGATTAGTTCATTTGTTGATTAAATGATTTTTAAACTCACACGGAGTTGCTATAAAATCTGTAGTAGGAAATATAAAAACACTAGCAGGTAGAATGGCAGAGTGAATGCTGGAATTCTATAGCTCCACAATTATATTCACAGCTAGACTGCATTTCATGACATGCCTGCAAAGGCTTAGACAGTAGAAAAAGTTCAGTCTTGTGACACTTGCTTAAGAAACCTATCTGCAAGAGCTGTAACAATGGCATCTCTGCAGAGCCTGTTACTAAAAGGTTCGTTTGAAAGGAAGCATGTTTTGTTTGGTTTTGAAATATAAGCTAACAGTTGGGACTTGAAAGGGAATGTTGTATTGCATCTCCCTTCCTAAAAAGACTGCTCTTGTTCAGGGTTCGAGTCAGCTCTTTCCTTCAAGTAGGCAGGGCATCCCCCTCTTCTCCCACTATATTCCACCCTTTGTTTTCCTTTTCCTCTTCATTCACTCTCACTGGGCCTGGATTTTTGTTGCTGTTGAATAGATTGTCCCTTAACTGTTTTCCTATTCTGTGAGAAACTCAGGATAGAAAACAAACAATGAACAAATAATAATACTTGTTAACTGTACAGTATATTTCAGCATTTTCCAACTCTCAGGGTCCTCCTGAGTCCACTAATACCTCCCTTTTTTCTTGATGACCCTGTTTGGTTATCCATATTGCAGGGAATGACAGAGGTAGTAGCCACCTTTGAGTCATAATGTTCACATATATTGGTGATTTTCCTCATATTTTAAATTAAGCAGATACTCCAGATATTTCACATTCTCAGCATCATAGAAATCCATTGTTTCAATCAAAGTTTGTCATTGGATAACTATTGGTTGCAGATAACATAGTTGAAAGGGAAAATGGTGATTGTTCTGCACGACTTGAAATAGTTATAAACATTCAACTTGCTAGTATTTTTCTTAAATCTCATATTTGTTACTAATACAGCGAATGGACATGGATCGACGCAGGGAAGATGCCAGAAATCCAAAGCGCAAACCACGATTGATGGAGGAAGATGAGTTGCCATCTTGGATAATCAAAGATGATGCTGAAGTTGAAAGGCTTACCTGTGAAGAAGAGGAAGAGAAAATATTTGGGAGAGGGTCTCGCCAACGCAGAGATGTGGACTACAGTGATGCCCTGACAGAGAAACAGTGGTTAAGGGTATGTGATGTAAAGTCATACTTATATTAGTAGTACTGTATGTTATAGGCTGGTGAAACAAAAAGGAATCACAGAATGGGTGGGCAGGGGGGCATGGAAATAGGAAATCCAATTCTGTCTTCAAAAACTGCTGAGATTTGATGATCAGTAAGTAGACAATTGCTGATCTCACTCCAGACCTGAGTAGTACTATGGGGAAGGTTTCCCCAATTTTTTTTCTCCTCGGGTGTCCAGGAAAGATTTTGGAGTGGGGAGCACTTGGGATCAAGTGGTGTACCTATGTTTTAGTCTTCCTTTCAAGCTGTTTTAATCTGTGAAGCCCTCGCCCCTTAGCAACTGAGAGAGCCCTTGAAGGGTAATAAATTAGAATGGGAGGAAACACTTTCTTCCCACTTACCCTGATCATCCTTCCATCCTGAACTGTTCAGCGTCAAAGTGGTCAGAACACTTCAAAGTTTAGATAGAAACGATTGTCCTTATTCTCCACCCTGCCCAGGATATCATAAAAGGCTGATAAGCCCAATGGTCTTCTACGTCCGCATCTTTGCCAATCCAATCCCTTTCTGTTTTACCAGGCCAGTTTATGTGTATGTGTTGTTTCGTCCCTACTTTTGTCAACAATTAATGCTTTCTAGAAGAGACTTGTTCAATATTTGCTGAACAACTTTGGTTTTCTTTCTGATTTTTAATGATTTTTTTTTACTTTCCTGATTCTTAATTATTCAGGAACCCTAACGTACCTGTGGCCCTGTTTCTCTTCCCTGTTGATAGAGATGGGGTCATGGTGGAGTTAGTAGAAGGAACGATTATACTAATAGTCAGTGACTTGATCCAGCAAAACATTTTCCTGATGCAGTTGAAGTCAACATAGAATTTTCACATGGACCATGTAGTTGTTCAGAAATTAACAAGGAAGCCTATTGGAAGACTTTACATTACTGTAAAAACACTGTTATTTGCATTTCAAATATATTTTTCCTTGGCTGCATATCACTTTTATAATTCTAAGCAGTTCTTAATTTAATGCAAGCAGTTCCTTCCTGTGTTTTAAACTGCTAATTACTGTGTGTCACATGCCCGTTTGGGGAAATGATTTAAACCTTCTTTGTAGAATTTTTAAAAAGAATTCTCAGTATATTTCTGTTGTCTGATACCTATTGGACAGTGGGGAGAATTGAATTAGGAACATGAATGAGAAAGAGGGTCCTCTTTCTCATTCACGTAGACCGAAAATGTGCAGATGTCCTTGTTTATTCAGATGCTCTCATTCTCCAGAGAATCCTTATTGCTGCAATACCCTCCAAATGGTCCAGCCTGTCAGTTGCATGTGTGGTGGAATGTCTAGTTCAGTGGTTCTTAACCTTTGTTACTCGGATGCTTTTGAACTGCAACTCCCAGAAACCCCAGTCAGGACAGCTGGTGGTGAAGGCTTCTGGGAGTTGCAGTCCAAAACTCCTGAGTAACCCAAGGTTAAGAACCAGTGGTCTAGTTCACAGAGTGGGTGTTTGATTGCTAAGAATTTAAACATTGTTGGATCCCCATCTAGGATAAATAGTTGTTCTCATAATGATTAAAACTACAGATGCCAGCTGTTAGAATGGGTGGAATTTATCAAAGATAGAGGTGTGAAAATGAAATTGTTATGTGCTAACACTTGACATGAAGGCAAGGATCGCCTTCATAGTCACTTTTTAACAATAGAATGTTTGGATCAAAACACTCTTTAAGTGGAAGAAAAATATCTGCTGGTACTATTCAGTTTACAGAGCATCTGTGCACCTGTTCAGTACTAATCCCTGAAGAATATCATAAGGTTCCTTAGCTATTGTCTATATTGATTAGCTATGTTTCCTCATCCTGAAGTCATCCCCAGCCTGCCTGAAAATGTCTTAGGCTGAATCTGGGATCTTTTGCATGCAGAGTGTGTTGTCTGTCCATGCCTCTACTGTTGCTCATCTCACCTTGCCAATGAAGGCGCTCATTCAACACTATAGTAGACCCCCTGTATCTGTGGGATCAGTATCCATGGTTTTACTTATCCACAGTTTACTGCAGCCCTACAGACAACATACAAGGCCTTTGTCCTACCTCCTTGTATGTTGCATGTAGGATATCCGGCCGTTTCAGGCATCCACAGTAGATTGTGGATCATTTCCCTGCAGATACAGTGGGGTGTCTTCCTGTACTGGTGTCTTCCTCTTTCCATGTTCCTGCCAGTATTATTTTTATGTACGTTCAGTGGGCTTGTTTATGTGGAATTGACAAAAACATTGTCCCCAATCTGTTCTCTAGTTTTTGGGTAGGGAGGCAGGTCTAATACCAATAAATAAATAAAATCTGTGTTTGTATAGTTAATAGGAATACAAGCATCAGACTGAAAGACTGAAGCAGTAAAGAACGATAGGATATAAAGTCTTCTTAGTAATATTCTGTAAGTGTGTGTCTGTGTTCAGTAACAAAATGTGTCATTTATTTGATTAGCCAAGTGGCCCGATAGCTTAAAATAGGAGTTTTATTTTTGATTTTGTCATATATCAAATTCTAATGAAGATTTCTCTTATTCTGGCTTTGTTTGGTGGTGGAGCATTAATAATACAGTAAATAGATTTCTGGGAATACAGTTCTATCTATATTTTCTTCATTTGATGCTGTTTATTGGTTAGTGGAGGCCAACTCTGAGTGATCTTTTAGCATGCTAACTGTTCTTCAAGAGATGTACTACCAGCTTAAAGCAAAGACTATGTAGATTTTATGGAAGAAATTAGTTTTATCAGGCTTTTTTTCAAAAATTTTGTAGATTTGATTGGTGTGGTGGTGGAAGTGAGGCAGCCAAAGCCTACAGTCTTGAAACCTCCACAGTTATGGGCTGTTAAGAATCCTGTTCTTGATTAACTAAAAATGCACCATAATTGCCATTGATGTTAACTCTTCAGGTGCTATGAAATGTACATATTCAATTATTTATAACGGCGGTCCCCAACCTTTTTAGCCCCCCGGACCGTCTGGGGAAGGCGGGGCACCCTCGTGCACATGCACGAAGGAGTGCGCTCTCTCTTTCTCATTGGCATGTTTGTGCACATGTGCGAAGGAGTGAGGGCGCTCATGCGCAAAGGGCAGCACAGCGCTCAGGCGGATGTGGGTGCGCTTGGGCACATGCACAAAGGGCGGTGCGGCACTCGGGGCACTCATGCACATGTGCAAAGGGGTGGGGGAATGCTCATATGGAGGCGCAGGTGCAAACAGGCTGTGCGAGGATGGGGGGAGGTCTGTCTCCGCAGCCTGGTTGGGCTTAGGCCACGAACCAGCACTGGGCTGCGGACCAAGAATTGGGGACCTCTGATTTATAAGACAGTGAACTGATGCTCCCCCAACACATGTTTCTAAAAGATATTACCAGGACTAGCCATTAGGGAACCAGAAACTATACAGTGAGTGTTTCTGTATCAGTGCTTTCTGGTATGGGGGCAGGCTTGAAACATATTCCACACAGATACCACAGTCCTACTGGTTTCTATCTATCACTGCCTGCCGTTTGACCTTTTCTGTTTGATTATAAAAACAAGATGAAGACATTGCAATGTGAAAAAAATGACATGCAACCTCTCATATCCATTTTCTGGCTGTTTCCCACACACACACACACACACACTTCTAATCTACTTCTCCAAACTTTTGAGAATTTCACAGCATAGTTACCCCAAACGCATTTGTCTGCTTAACTAAACCTGGACCCGTGATGGCCAAAATTAATCTTTTTTACTCCCATTCATTGCAATTAAATAGCCATTGTTCTCAACTTTAATAAGGTACAGTGGTGCCTCGCAAGATGAAAATAATTTGTTCTGCGAGACCTGCCGTCTTGCGAAATGTTTGTCTTGAGAGGTGAGTTTTCCCATAGGAATGCATTGAAATGTAATTAATGCGTTCCTATGGGAATTTTTTTTTAAGTTACTTATCCGGTAGGGAGCTGAGGAAGCACCATCGGAGGACTGGTGGTGGTCCCCTGCAACTGCGATCACTGCTTTCAAAGGTGCCCCGGCACTTCCTTTCGGAGGCTTGCCAAGCACCATTGGAAGCAAGCCTCCGAAAGGAGAAAGGCAGGGGAAAAGGGCGGGAAGTTCAAAAATATTGCTGGAAAAGGCTTCAGAAGCTTGCCCAGCTTCATCGGAGGACTGCCTGGGGACCACTGAAAGCGGCGATCATGGTTGCGGGGAACCCCCACCAGTCCTCTGATGGTGCAGGGGAAGCCTGCACCATCGGCTTCCCCTGCACCATCCTACAAAGCTCACCATTTGAGCTTTGTAGTATTTTATTACGTTTTATTACGTTTAATATCTTGTTGTGTTTTATTATTTATGTAAGCTGCCCTGAGTAGACTTTGTCTAGGGGGGCGGGGTAAAAGTCTAATAAAAGTAAAGTAAAGTAAAAATGGTGCTGGTTAAGGCTTGCCCAGCACCATCGGAGGACTGCCGGGGGACCTCTGAAAGTGGTGATTTTGGTTGCAGGGGACCACCACCAGTTGTCCGATGGTGCTTCCCCAGCTCCCTACCTGGTAAGTGACTTTAAAAAAAAATCCCCATAGGAACGCATTAATTAAATTTCAGTGTATTCCTATGGGAAAAGTACTTTGGAAGACGAAAATATCTTCGTCTTGCGGGGCACCCAAAAACTCGCAAGACTCTTTTGTCTTGCGTGTTGTTTTTTTTACCCAAGGCATTCGTCTTGCGAGGTACCACTGTACTAAAATTGGGCCGCCAAAAGTCCCAAAGGCTTCCGTGAGAGGGTTAAAGCCAGACCCCCTCGGGCAAGCCGGCTCCCTTTCCCTTCCCTCTCCAATGCAGCCACTTGTCTTCCACCTCACCTTTTCGATGAGAGCCCTCCTCCCGTTTTTTTTCCCCCCACTGATGGCATGTGGAGGTACTGGTTGCTTTCTACTTCTTACCCCTACCTGGCACCTGCACCCGCCATCTTGCATGTCCAGCAGCCCAGGGAATACGTGA